AAAAAAAAAAAAAAAAAAAGAAGAAGAAGAATTAAGAAGAACAAATGTACTATACAAAGCCTACACTGTCACCAAATCCCATATAGCTATCTCTCACATTCCAGCCATAAGCTATCAACGAAAGCAAGGACAATCTGAGAACATTGGGTAAAGAGAAGAGAGCTAGCAGTGGGCAAGATTGACCTAAAATTCATTGTCAGAAAGAAAAACCCACCCTAAGTACAAAAAACTTTATCACGGATATGTATGTATATATATAAAAAAACCATTTAGGGTTCAGTACTATCTGCAGCTTTAGGTATACACTGGGAATCTTGGAACATATCCCCCATGAATAAGGTGGGATTACTATATTGTATTAATGGCAGGTGGGAGTTAAAGGATGCTATTAAACTAAAAAATGATCTGAAGGTACAATGGCCTTTTAGAAAAGAAAACAATTTAAAACTCTTAAAAACCAGGTAATTAAAGGTTAAACATAGAAATTTATTTTTTTCTCTAAAAGCATTAAAAAAGATCTAGGTACAGCTAGGCGCAGTGGCTCATGCCTGTAATCCCAGCACTTTGGGAGGTGGAAGAGGGCAGCTCACCTGGGGTCAGGAGTTTGAGACTAGCCTGACCAACAAGGAGATACCTAATCTCTACTAAAAATACAGAATTAGCCGGGGGTGGTGGTGCATGCCTGTATTCCCAGCTACTCTGGAGGCTGAGGCAGGAGAATTGCTTGAACCTGGGAGGTGGAGGTTATGGTAAGCCAAGATGGCGCCACTGCACCCCAGCCTGGGCAACAAGAGCAAAACTCCATCTCAAAAAATAAAATAAATAAATCTAAGTACAAAAGTAGCTAATAAAACAAAAATCAAACATTGAAAAAAGACAGTTATGAAAAGAGCTGTGAAAAATCTATCATGTAGAAAAAAATGTAACAAAATACAATTATAACAAATAATATGACATTGTTAAAACCAAATATCAACTGTATCAATATATGTAAACATATATTGATTTTAACCTCATTTATATAAATATATTATATAATTTAATATACACATTACATAATTTAAATTGTACTATATAAATATGAATGAGGTTAACACACCTATTAAAATAAAGAGATTTTCACTTTGACTTACAGGCAAGACCTAACTATATGCTTAATACAGGAGATACCTAAAGCAAAATGATTCAGATAGACCAAAAATAAGGAGGAGGGAAAAGGAATACTAGGCAAACAGAAACAATAAAAGTAGGGCTTTTGATCCTGATATCAGGCAAAGCAGAGTTCAAGCCAAAAGCATTAAACGTAATAATACTTTCAAAGCTACACTAAAGTCATGGTTTTCTATGCATCACGCTACAAAGCAGGCACATTTACAAAGCAAAAACAGAGATATAGATACAAAGAAACAGAGATGAAAATATTAATAATAGGAAAGCTTAACATACCACTCTCAATAAAAGACAAACTGTACCAAGAATAAGTAATGATGCAAAAGGCCTAAATAACCTAATTAATAAGTAAATCTTATTAATATATATTAAACCTTAGCCCTGATAAGTACACATTCTTTTCAAGCACACAGCATCATTTCCAAAAATATGTGATATATTACATCATAAAGAAATCATCATTAATTCTCATTAAGAAACTTTCCAAGAAACAATCTGCAGCAAAACTAGAAATTTATTAAAATATCAAATAACAAAATGTGCTTTCAAATGGGGGAAAATAAACTATTAACTCTTCAGTAAACGGGGCAATAAAAAATTTAACAAAATTTCTAAGTATTAATAACTGAAAACATTATATATTACAAGCTATGAGATGCATTTAAAGCAGTGATTTAAAAAGTGTTTATGCTTTTATTTCTTTAATGTATAAAAATAGAAGAATTAAAATTAACAAATTAAATTCTTAGATCAAAGGCTAAGAAAAAAATAAATTTCAATTGAGCCCAGAAGTTCAAGAACAGCCTGGGCAACATAATGAGACCCCGTTTCTATTTTAATACATACATACATACACACATGCATACACACATACATAAATAGGTATGTTAGCTCATGCCTATAATCCCAGTGCTTTGGGAGGCCAAGGCAGTAGGATCGCTTGAGCCCAGGAGTTCCAAGACCAGCCTGGGCAACATAGCAAGATACTGTCTCTATTTTCTTTTTAATGGAAAAAGATCAAAATAACTAATAACAAAAATAGATAAAAGGAGAAATCAATGAACTAGAGAACACAAAAATAGTAAATCTAATGATAAATCAAAATCATACTTATTTTGTAAAACTTCAAGAAACACATAAACCACTAGGTAATGAAGAAAAGAAGAAAGAAAGCACACATTTACAAAATAAGACATGACAAGAAAGAATAACCACCAAAAAGAAAACACACGCATACATGAGAACCACTTTGCAAATCTCTATATAATATAAAAATGATTAACTACGAAATAAGTGTTTCTTTTTTTTTTTTTTTGAGACGGAGTTTCGCTCTTGTTACCCAGGCTGGAGT